GATGCAGACAAGAGTGTCAAAAATCCGAAAACAAATTCTGCTATAACCATACTTAAAAACCGGAACCATACAGTAGGTCCACAAAACGAAATACCCCAACAATGAGAAAGAGCAAAGCAAAAAAAGGAAGGTAGAAAGAAGAATTAGGAAGAGTACATTCTACCATAACCAAAGAACAAACATGCTACCACAAGCCCGACACTTGCCGCATCATCTACAAAAGCAGAGAGTTAGCAATATCGGAGTATATATCGTCACAAAGATATTAGAGCACAAAAGCGAAAAAAAAACAAGAAAAAAAACAATTCGTTTTTTATCTTCTTATGTACAACTCCCCTTGTTAAGAACATATATAGATATGTTTCACTATATATATTTAGAGAATGTTTTCCGGTAAAGTGTACGCAGAGAGGGAGAATAGGACAACAAAAGAGGGGCTACGACAAAATATTTCGTCGGAGTTTCACCGACTCATATATATATATAGTCAAACAGAGCTGCCCTGTAAACCGTAGGCGGAGAGGGAGAAGAGAAGAACAAACGAGGGGCTGTGACAAACTGTTTTGCCGGAGTTTCACCGACTCATCAGAAGGCTGCATATATATATATATATATATATATATATATATATATATATATATATCGTCACAAACAGAACTGCCCGGACTACAAACGAGGGGCTGTGACAAACTGTTTCGTCGGAGTTTCACTGCTGTATATATATATATATATACAGCCCCTCGTTTGTTATCCTCTTCTCTCTCTCTGCCTACGGTTTACCGGGCAGTTCTGTTTATGACGATATATATGATATATATATATATATATATATCATCAAACATAGCTGTTTGATTAACTGTAGACAAAGAAGGAGAAAAGGACAACAAACGAGGAGTTGTGACAAATTGTTTCGTATATATATATATGTAATATTATATATATATACACATATACAGGGTCACCAGCCCGTACGTACGGAGGTCCCCGGGCCGACCTCAGTACGTAAGGGTGTTCGGGGTCCCGTTCGGGCTCCGAACCCGACAGCGTTCGGCCTCCACCAAAACTTATCTCGGGGATTAAAACTAAGTTTTCTTTTCTGCAATTTCTTTTGTGAATTCTCTATGATGTGAGGTACGTGCCTATAAATTTTGAAGTCATTTTGCTAAGCGAAACAAAAATTACAAATCGCCAAAGATGGCGGTGTCAAAACGTGCTCGCCCACTCACTATTTTGTTTTTTTCCACTTCTTACTTTTTGTTTTCACTTGATTGCGGAGCCTAAAAAACAATATGATTTTTTGAAACTTTTTAAATGAGTTTTGTATTATATAAAGTAAAGATCTATTAATTTTCAGGGGATTTGGCTGTGCCAAAAAAAAAAAAAAATCTAGGCTACTAGCCGGGCCGCCCGCGTCCCTGGTGGCAAACCCGTGCAAGGACCAGGGAAGGTCCCAGCAAAAAAAAAAAAAAAAAATGTATTCCAAAAAAATCGAAAAAAAAACTATGTTATGCAGAAAAATAAATTGAACAACGTTTGCCCCAGGGTCGCATCGAAATTCTTTACCAAATTTAGAATAAAAAATCAAATACAAAAATCATATTTTCATAGCGCGCACATGTGTACATGATTGATACAGAGAGAGAGAGAGAGAGAGAGAGAGAGAGAGAGAGAGAGAGAGAGAGAACATGCAGTTAAGTGAGTGGGGCAAAGCCGCTGTGCCACAAACAAATTCTTTGTATAATAATCAAAATCGGCTGACAGTTTCTTCAAGTATTGTTGCAACTCAATTCGTACTATCATTTTTGTGAACTTTCGTGTGACCTCTCTCTTGTCTTTGCAATCTTAAGTGCTGTTTGAATCAATCAATCAATCAATCAAGGAATCTTGATTGATTGATTTATTCATTGATTGATTGATCGATTGAGCGGGGTTGGGTGTCGTCCGCACGTGTTCGCGATAGCAATATATATGTTTTTTTTTCAAACCATCAATCAATCTGCGTCGTTGTTCATAGCCATAGCCAGCAGGCTAGTGCCACGTGGCACTGCCACCTCAACATGTGTGTGTGTGTATGTGTGTGTGTGTGTGTGTATGTGTGTGTATGTGTGTGTGTGTGTGTGTGTGTGTGTGTGTGTGTGTGTGTGTGTGT